ACAGGGACCCTATCCCATGAATTAACATTCCCTGTCTCCCCCATCCCCCTGTGTTAATAACTCTCACTTCAATGAGTGGCATCTGTACCATCTGGTTATCTCTTGTATCCCAATGTGAGGTTACCGGAATCACCTTTGCTAGACATCCCTCTGAGGTAAGTCCCCAACCTATTACACAGTTGTAAGTTAGCCTGTAACAGATATAAAAAGCTGTTGATCTCTGAGGCAGCTGAGCTAACCCAGCAAGTCCGGACCCTCCCTCAATACCATGGGTCCCCACGGGTCCCCCTGCCGCCCTCCCAAGCTCTGTGGCTAAATCTGTTGCCCCACAAGTTTCAGTAGCTAAAGCCCTGGGGTGCTGCAGAAAGTGGCCGCTCCCCTGCATCTTATTTTTGGCCTCAGTAGGAAGCAGTAGGCTATATCCATGTGCTGTGCCACTCTCCCCTCTAAGATCCCCACATGCAGCATTGTAGGAAAAGTGGTTAAAATTAACGTTCCCATATTGCCTCCCCCTTCTCCCTCCCACCCCCCACTTGGAAGGCCCAGCCCCTGGGTGCAGCACCCTGCTGTCCCCAGCCATGCCCGTTAAGCCTCTCTCTCCCTCGAATTCTCCTACCCTTCAACCATCCCTTGGTGTCAGTCCAACTCACCAACAATGACTCTGTCTCTTGCGGTTGTAATGCTCTGCTTCTTTGGTCCCAGAGGTTGTTCATCCTAGAGGTCTGGTTCTGCTTGTTCTGTAAGCACCCTGTAACTTTAGAATTGCTACAGAAAGAGCTTCTGCTGCAACAGTATGCGTAGCGTCAATTAATTCTTGGCCTGCTTCCCCAGTCTTCAGTGCTTTATTGCCCTGCACCAGCGGTGGTTCCCCCCTGCTACTCATGGGAGGAAAGAATCCCCAGATGATTCCTCCCACCCACTTCATCCCCCATGCTGCCCACAGGAGCACAGACGGGGGCTCCACTTTCTCTCCCTCTCAATTGGGCCCAACATGCTGAGAAGGAGGGAATCCTCTTCTCCCCCGCCCACCCTCCTTCTATTACACAGAGCCGGCTGGTTGCAAATGAAGACGTTGCTGATGCTGCCAACCCAGCTGGTAAAGAGGTACCTCTCCATGGCTGCATGGGGTATAAATATCCCATGAAACCTCACTTTTGCAGTCAGCAGAAAGGACCAGGTCAATGCTAACCCTAACCTAGCTCCAGTGACTTCCTGCCCTTCCGATCTATCCCTGTACACTTCCCCTTCTCCCCGTCTGCTGCAATGGAGCCTTTTAAATGGGCAATGCCCCTTTTCACCAACTAGCTGGACAAAGACCCACTTGTCTAAAGATTGAAGTGGGCACATGAGTTCTGACATCTTCTCAGAAGTGAATAAAACTTCAGCTAACTTCAGAAAATACTTTGCACTTATATAGCACTTTTCATCCAATGATATTAAATGACTTTACAAAGGTGGGGGATAGGCATTATTTCCATTTTCTAGATGGGAAACTGATGCACAGAGTGGTTGTAACTTGCCCAAGATCACACAGATAGTCTGTGGCAAAATTAGGGCTAGAACCCAGGTCTCCTGACTCATGGTTGTGTTCTAACCACTACTTCCCTCCTACTACAGATGGAAGACATGGCAGACCATTCTGTTCAGATTTACAATGCCCACTGTCTCCAACCTTTTTGTTTGTTTAACAATCTGAACATCTGTTTGTTCACATTTTCTCATGCACGTTACAGGCTCTCCAGTACTGTGAGGTTCCTCTAGCACTGTAGTTTGTTTTTCTATTTCTCTTTTGTACAGTACAAAAATAACTGCAAGTTAATTTTGAAATGTATGGGGTGTATACAGAGATTGTACAAATAATACTGAATATATGAGTTTTGAATTACAATCTTTCCTAGTAAATGGTTCTGTTCCAGTGCTTTTTTTTATGTAAAATCTCACTTGCTGAAGCATCATGGTTTCTTCTATGAAGGTTTTTCAAAGGTTAGAAATAGTCAGTTTGCTCCTTTCACGATTGTGTGGCACCAGTGCCAACTTAAGCTTGTTCTTCACATGATTTTGCATTTATTGAGCTGCTGGATGCAGATAGTATGTAAGCATGGTGTGAAAGAATTGTACATTTCAAACAGTTGTGACCTTGTTTAAACTTTACTCAGCTTTAAATTTGAGGATGCTACTTTTTGTTGTATTTCAAAGACCAGTCTTGAAACGCTGTACATACTCTGTATGTTACCAGGCGTAATAAAGCTATTTCACGTTCTAGATTTCATTCCATTTGTATGGAGTTAATCTGTTGAAAATTAAGCCCTTTCCTTTTTCTCTCCAAAATTGGTGTTTACATCATTAAAGGCTACATTTTGCCATTGAATGCATACATGCAATTCCCTTTGAAGTCGAGAGGAATTTATATGCACACATCCAAAGGCAGAATGTGTCTCTAAAGTGTCTCTGAATTATTTATTTGTATTTATATTTTCGCCATCAAATTTGCACATCACAAATGGGTTGTTTGGAAATTGAGACAGAATGGAGTTAACCTGAATGCCATTGTTGAGAGTATATTACAACTCTCATTTTGTCTTTTAAATGCAGCCTGTATCGCCTTCAAAATTTGAAACTGTCCATCTTCAATCTATAAGATTTGTATCTATCTGAATTTTACCACATAGTTTGAAGCAAAATGAAGACGCTGTGGCTTTTATATTCCGGGTTCCATGTTGAAAAGCCCCTATTTTCCCTTTTCTGGGAAAAGAACCCCATTAGTGATTGCTAAGAATATTAATATAGAAAGGAAATCAATAGGTTTCTGTTGCAATCTCTAAAATTTCATTTATGTATAGATGTCAGGTTTTAATATAATTCCATGGTAGTGTTTCTAATGGAATCCCCAAAATTATTTGAGCTATCAATGTGCTCAGTACTAGACATATTATAAAGGAAGATGTTATCTCTGTCCCTAGGGGGCTGAATTAAGCTTATAGCTAAAACACAATATACTGGCAGAACAGCTTAAGTTCCAAAATTGAAGGCCTTATCTAAACACAAGTTGTATATGTTTAACCAAAATTATTTTAAGTAGTTTTAGTTACAGATGCAAACTCCTGTGTGGGGACAATCAGTTGACTTCATCTATTCTTTATTGATTAAAGCTAAATTGATCGTAACTCAGTTTAAACGTATCCGCATGGGTTTAACTAAACTGACTTTAAAAAATATTTGTTAAACTGCTGGTGCAAATTGGTGTGTGGAAAGGGCTTGTCACGAAATAGGACCTCAGTTAATATCAGATTGTGGCCTTGGCTACACTCGTGGCAGCGCTGTGAAGCGCGAGTGTAGTCGCGCCGCCAGCGCTGCGAGAGCTGTCTCGCAGCGCTGCAAGTACTCCACCTCCCCTGGCCTGGGGTGCAGTTAGTTAACATGCCTGCCCTGCATTCTCCACCTTAACGCTCCCTGTGTCTCTGGCTAGTGAAGCCCTGCCCTGGAGGTCATCCTCTGCATGCTCAGAGGCACCTGCATTTCAAACTAGACTGGCCAAAGCCACCAGGAAGGAGAAGGCTCAGCCCTGCAGGGCAGGGAGGGATTGGTTCAGTGCTCAGGCCTTGGCCTGGCTTTGCTGACACAGGTTACAGGCTGATGGAAAAGTCTGGAGAGAGAACTTCTCCCCCCCCTTGCCCTCGCTTGACTTCGCTCCGCGCAGCACCGGCCCCCTCGGCCTGCGCTGCAGCGCCCCCTGCCGCAGAGAAGAGAGAGGAGCGCGGGGAGGGCAGCACCGCGCTTCCAAACCTGTAAGCAGCGTAACCAGCAGCGGCTGCCTTCATCTCCCCCTCGCCTCGCCCGGACGGATCGCTGCCCCTTAGCTGCCCCAGGGAGCGGAGCCGCGGCCGGGGACAGCGCAGGCAAGCGAAACTGACTTGGTAAAGTACAAGCGTCTGGCGTCCCAGTCCCCCCTGATCTGCAACAGAACCGGTGTCTGAGCAGAGGGACCGCCCGCTGCACCCGCTCCCCAGTGGTAAAGTTGTCGGGGCGGGGAGGGCGGCTGCAGCTGCTGCTTCCCTTCTGAGCCGTGATTGCAAAGTGGAAGGTGAGGCTGGGTTCTCCCCCCTGGCAAACAGCTGGGGCCGAGCAGGCAAAGGACCCAGGATCGGGGCGCGTGGGAACCCTGCCTGCAAGTGCTTGGAGGAGAGAGGGGGGATTCTGTGACTGGGGGGTGTCAATGAGCGTGGGTTTGTCTAGCACGAAGGCTCTTCTCCCGACCCAGGACGGCGTGACCCGTGCAAATCCCTGTCCCCATTGTCTGTCTCGGTACCTGCCTGGTGGGAGACGTGCCAGCTTCCGGGGGCGGGGGGCGTGCAGAAAATGGATACCTTCTCGGTAAGGTTAGCCAGAGCTTGATCCCTTCGCTTCAGTGAGCTCTGCCGCTTTGCTGGGACAGCTGCAGCCTGCTTGGTGTCCCAAGGCACCTGGAGGGGGTTTGGCGGACCTCATAAACTAGTGAGGGTGTTAGCCCCCGAGAGATGGAGGAGGGCACGGGCAGAAATGTAACCGCCACGAGAAGGATAGAAGAGAGAATTTCTTCTAACTTGTGCTTTGAGTAACTCCACACAGACACTGTGTCCTGCTGCAATATTGATCAGCATATTTCTAGCATGCTCCTTGTTCTGGGAGTATTGTATATATGGAAAAATACAAATTAAAGTTAGATTTCGCTCCCCTCCTTCATGGATTCCCCCCCCCCCCCCACCCACACACACACTTTGGTTTCTGTTAAGCCAGACACACCTGGAATACATAAAGCTGCAGTCAGACTGTTCTGTTCTTATCTAGCTCCGTGTTTTGTCCTGCTAGCGGGTCAGTTCAGCACCCTGCATTATTTTGGCAAAACATGTCGGTCTAAGTATATTATTGCAGAGTTTTACAAGGCTAAATAGTCGGCAGCATAATATATCGGAATCGTATCGTGCTCAAGTTTAGATTGTAAAATAATAGAACTTGTTCAGATAGAAGTGTAATAGTTAGTGGGCAATTTTTAGTAGCTCTAGTTTATAAAGTAGTTCTACAAGTATGTATTCCCGATTGTAATTTGTCTT